ATGCTTAGTTGTTAATTATCGACAGCCAAACTTTCTACTTAGCATCACTCTCACGGCGAACCGTCTGATCATGTCGATTGTTTATCGTCACAATTCTAGTTTAAAAAATAAATCGATACTGATTACTGGCAACTGTCATAAACGTTTCGGTTGCGATCCTGAATCTTCTTAATAAGTTTAAAAGTCAATTCTTTAATCTCCCCTAACAGAAAATGTCTTTTGCCAAAAAAATGTAGTTATATTGTAGCAGAGTTGAATAAGATTACTGTAAATGTATATACAAAGATGCATTACAAATATGCCCATATAAGGTTACAGTGGAAAAGCGAAACAGTTTAAAATTTTGAAAATATAGACGAAATATAAGAGTACTATAGAAGAAATCAATGTATATACGCTGAACTTAGTAGTAGTTCATCTTCAATTTAAAAAAAAAATAAACGAGATGTGATTTTTTTACAGAATTTAATGTATATGAATGATAATTTTTCAGTCGTCGTGTATTTCTTAGTTTCATTGAATTGAGCTTTTCTATTTTTAGTAAGACTTTCTAGTATTGCCTACGATGGAGTTCCGGTTCCTTGAGCCATTATTTTTAAATTAAATTTTTATTTTTTAAAACATTTCGATCATTTACGATTAAATTATGATAAGACAAAAAAACGAGTAATAGAATATTAGATGATATAAAAATTCTGAAAATATTTTCCTCATTAGGCACTGAAATTATTTATTTGAAAAACAAAGTAAGCTCAAAAGACAAAATATTCCCACTATAATTAAAAAACGGCGCTCCAGAAGTGTGTGTACCAGTAAGGAGGTAACTAATTTTGTTCGCCTACTTTACATTAATTAAGTTGTGTAAAGGAAGTGAAACCGATGGGCAGGCGGTATATTCACTGCTAACACAGACAATCCACAAACTCGTAATAGAACTAAAATAAGGAAAATGGGAATGAAATTATGGCCTAATCCTTGAATTATGGCCTGGTACATACCCTACGAGAGTACCAAACAAACAATTATCATCGTTACGTGATCTATCTGTTCTGCAACTTTCATTACTTAATCGTACATTGAACAAATATTTAAACTTAATTGCAGCCAAACTACGGACTTACTTTGTCATTCAATCTTGATGTAATAAATATTTTCGATTAGAATTATAAAAATGAATTCAAATCTAAAACATTGCTTTACATTCAGGCATATACAAGAAAGTTGTCCGTTGGTGTACCCAATCCACTCACATCGAAAATTTGTCACATGGGATTTGAGGGTAGGTGGCCTTCAATGACAGTGTTAAACTATTTTAACGTACTAACGTTTCAAGGATAAAATGCCAAATTGCCACCCTGATTGTTGCAAATATTTCCCCAGAGTATGCTCTAACCTTATAATGGCTTCAATTTACCCTTCAAAAGATATTTTGAATCAAGTGTATTATTTTTAGATGTAATTCTATCCAAGCAGTATCAGCGGTGGTAGCGCAAGGTGGATATTATGGTTTTCAATGGATTAAATGATATACGACTTTACGAGTGGAACTCATATTTTAAAGTTGGCTAACATTAGCGGAGGTTGTATATCTTTAGGACGACCATAAACCTCCATGAGTGATTACCCATGAAACATACATGACTGAAAAAGTTCTGAGTAATATTTTGTTAATGTTTACAATACTACCATAAGTTTAGTTTTTATTGGTAGGAAATTGAATTCTACCCATTCTAGAATTCAAATTCTGGGAAGAGTTCGGGTTTGAACGTAAGAAAATTGAGTTTCACTCATCAATTTTTGAACAGATCATGCGAGGCCCTAAAGGTGATCATTTTGAAAATTAAACAAGAGAGCAATGCTCAAATATTTGGACACAATAGAAAAAAAGGAATATTTTACCCACAAAAATCATATTCTGGACGAAGCTGAAACTGTGGACTATCGCAACTTTCTAGTACCGGTACCCGGACTGCCCTAGCTATACCAGGTCCGTGACAATGATGATACACGTGTCTTAGGCCAACGTGAATTAAAATGCTAAATGATTTGACTCACAACTGTAGTAAAAAATCAATAACAGTAATTTACCGTCTACTCCAGTGCTCTTCAACCGAGTATACGGTATACCCAGTGGTGGGATTCAGCCGGTTTGCACCAGTTCTATTTATTGCGTGGTGTGCGATACTTCTCGTCTGCAAATGACAGTATTAATTTGTTGTTGATTTTAAATTAATATGTTACCGACATATGGTTCCAGAGTTACCTCTATCTTTCGGTATATTAGTATATATATCTCCGTGATAACTATAATTGCGGCTACGCCATTTCGAATAATTACGGGAAGCGCATAGGACGTGCGAAGCATACAAACAGACGGGCGATTACTACGATTAGTCGTCGATCATCTCTCCAGCCGCGCGGCCTATCCAAGCTCCACACCAAGTTCTTGCTCAGTTTGAATGCTCGGCCAAGATTGAGTGGCTTATCGGTGATGAAAAAGAGATGATTGGTCTGCTCGAAAGTGTCTGATTTTATTAGCTTGCTTTGTTTTTCTAGTGCCTTTAATCGTGTTTTATACCCTATACATCGGCTTACGCTGATGATAGTGAAAATTAACTTACTTCCACATATTGCTTTCTGCCAGGCGTCTATGATTATTCAGTGACCTGTAAACTACATGGAAATTCTGATCTTTACCTAATATATAGTAGTTTACTTATAGTTTTGTGCTGATAAGAACATGCTGATCATCTTCAATTAATCTCCATGAAATTTAGAAACAGTACTCTACTCCAGGGGTTCTCAAACTTTTGGTGTCGCGGAGCCCTTGAAATTGTTGACTATTATTCACGGAGCCCCAAAATAAATGTTAAAATTGTTACTTTCTGATTAATATTCCTGAGCAAGGTAAAAGTACTTTACTCAATTTAAATGCTGAACCTTTTTTGATAGGGTTAATACAAGTTATAAATAAATCTAAATTTCAAACATAAATTATATATACTAAAGCTGTAAATTTGACACTTGACAAACATACTAATAAATTAGGGGTCGAATCTTCTCCCTTTTGACATTTTTGGAAGACCCAAAATGCCGCTAATAATGTGCGCGATTGCATTTTGTTACAATCGCCGATTTTTTTCCTCAGCATGGCGGCGTGTTTTTGAACCTACATCTTTACGCCGTTGTTTATTCTCCCTAAATCAAAAATTTCCCTCGGCATATACATGTATTGTTACACAATGACGACGTTAATTACTTTTTTGTTCTCGTGAGGAATTATGAGTTCAATGTGAAAAATATGTTACCATTTTATAGTCATCGGCGACGAACTGCTAAAAATAATAATTAATGAAGAGGTAGATCCGCAACTCAAATTGCTTGATTGAAAAGCGGCATTCTAAAATATTAAAACTAAAACTTAAAATGGAAGATCACACGTTTGGTTTCAGCAGACTCACCGTAGATTGAAAACGCTTTTATAGACATTGTAAATCACAAAATTTGCTGTTATGTTAGATTTTCATCGTAGTAACTGCAAAATCAAAACACAGTCAATTGTGCGTGCGATGTATTTTTTTTCTTCCCATTTTGAAACTGCCGACGGAACCGCACGTAATCAATTGTGCGCGCGATCCGCGATGTACCATTTTCATTCTAAAACTACCGATGGAGCCGAATGCAATAAAATAGATTTCAATTGTTCGTATTTTGCCCAGACATTGTGATTTTTTAAACGGCGATATCTTGCTTAAATATAATCTCAAGTGCGATGCGAAAGAACAAATCAAGTTTGACAAACCCCAAGATCGCAAAAATACGACTCCAATTTATTTATAGTTGGCAGTTTATCACATATTTTATGTTATTTTAGAATAGTATTCTTTCATTTTAGTAATCCTAATAGTAATTTCGAATCAAAGGTGAGTAAAGATGAACACAATTACATTATAACGACGAGACACTTTTTAAGGCATCGGTCATGGATTGAATATTTTACGCAACAGAAATCCCGTTATCCGTTTTTTAATCGCGAATGTTGCGCGGCAATTTTCGATTCTAATTTTGAACCACCTCCCTCTTAAGAATCCTGGCTGCGCTCCTGCTTATAAATAATGCCATTTTGAAATTCCGCCTCCGTGCCATATTTCGAGGCTATATTGTTGTCAGATTTTATCAAAGCTGTTATTGCTTCTTTGAACAGTTACAAAATTAGTCAGTATTTTGAAAAGTAATCGAATAGCCCGCGGAGCCCCTGGGTTTCTCTCGCGGAGCCCTGGGGCTCCGTACGGAGCACTTTGAGAACCTATGCTCTACTCTACAGTAACTTACCGTACCTACCTACAGTGCGTCACCGATATCGGAAAACTTACGACTTCTGCAAGGTTTTGTAAAAAAAACTGTGTTCCCGTGAATAAAAAATATTACAGCAAAGTTTTGGATGAAATATCAGATCCCATAGGAATCATAGAATATTTAGGAATAAATAAAAGTAATAGCCTTCTAGCGACAACAACAATTTTTAAACACTGGAAATTTCAAAGCAATTGATACGGTAGTTAAAGAGAAAATATATATTTGCGTAACAACAAGGACATGAACCGGAACATGACAAAGAATTCTAACAACAACATAAAATTAAATCGATATATAGGTCCATTTCGTGTACAATAATTCAGAACTGGCCACTACAAATGATCGTGTTAGGTTAAAGGTCACTGAAATGCGGAAGCGTATTCCCAAATTCTGTCAAAGTCACTTGCTGTGTACTGTACTGTTGTCTGCTGTGTATTAGGCTGTTGTAGGCACTCGTCGTGTTTAAATCTGACTGCTTCTGTTGACTAAAAAGTTATCTGTTAGAAATACTGATTGCTAAATAATATATAAAGTCTATTTATATATATGTATATGCAATATGGGTTTGGCAAGACAACAAACGACAGAACCAATTCCAGAATTCAAGTAAAAAAATTTAATACATCAAATTACTCATTAACTATATCCCGATTTAATCAGAATATTGCACGAAAATAGCAACACAAATTAGAGAATAAGCAAAAAACTTAGCTACATAAAGACAAAAAGAACATCTAGTAATCTATTAAATTTCTAATGCTTGACTATACAAAAATGGGAGAGCAGTATTGATCAATTGTTGTGAAGTAGCCTTCCAATTTCTGGACAAATAATGAATGAGCAATATTTCATCATTCTACTTTCCTTTGAGCCATCATTTCCCTTGTCCATGGTTTTTCACCTCTAATTAAATTGATGCAAGTTTGGTTATTTTTTGCTGATTTTTTTAAGTTAAACTTTTTCATTACAACACCAAGTGAATCATTAACTCCATCGGATGCATATTTTATATACTTATTACTCAATGCGCCAACATCAATGCAATCATGTTGTAACTGTGCATTCATTTTGTTCAAAGTTATCAGGTCTGCTTGCATTCTCTCATGACCATACGCTTCAATCTTTTTCCAAAACGTGTTATTAAAGTGTTGATAAATTGCTGTATCGATTTTATTCCATTCATAAATTTTCTGTTTTACTCTATCAGTTAGCAGAGTCATAGGAGCATCTCTCGCATTTATTTTCAAAGCTAAAATATCTTCAATAGACCAACATAAATGTTCTCTCAGTAGCAACATCGACTCCGCAAAATAATCAGACAACAATACAAGATCGAAAACTTTATCAAGTTCGCTAATTGCTTGTTGAATATATTTGTCATCGTCGCTCAAGTTGTCATAACCCATATCAAAAAATACTCCATTCTTTGCAAACCACCAGAATCGCCCATCATTTCTACCACGGAAGAAGCTGAAAATAAATGCAGCATATTACAGAGTTATATATATAGCCCATATGTATCAATGGGAACTGATCTAAAGCCTTAATATAAAAAACACACATAAAATTTCACATCATTACAATAAAAGCTTGATTTTCAAAAAACATTTGATTAATTTGCCTCCATGCAATTTTATTTTGGGTCAGGTTAACTCCAATCTGATAAAACATTCCACGAAAATAAATGAAATACTTCATGACAAATACAAACTTACTAATCAGTGTGATTTAACCAATATTCCAACGAATTTGGTCTTTTATGGACTCTCGAAAATGGCGTACTATCATAATGTAGATAATCGAACATAGATTCGAAAAGCGAACTTGGTTCTCTTAGAATCGTGATATAAGCTGAATTTCTTGGCATAACTTTTTGTAATTCTGGGTAGTTGAAGACCATATGATGACATAATATATTAATAGGTTTTGCCGCAGGTGCCACAAACTGTGCTTGGAATTTATGTCCATAATGAAATCTTATATCCTGAGTATTCGATAATCCAACTGTTAAATCAGCTTTGTTTGCATATCGAAGCAAAACATTTTGGACGGCTGAACTAGCGGTTTTATGTGTTTTAAGAAACATGATATCAGAACGAGGAGAACAAATTCTATTAGAATTTTCATTGAAATAATAACCGTTCATCCGCAGAACTTCCTCTACTTTTCCCTCTTGTTGACTACAAAACAAATAAAATTTTATTGTAATATATAATAAAATGAATCAGCTATTCTATTGAAATATTCAATAAACAAATGAATTGTATGTCGGAAACTAAACAGATGAGAATATAAAGAGCCCAGCTGATTTCTGTCTGTAGATAGTTTGACGGTTCAGTTCAATATGCGTCTAAATATGCTAAAAATACATGTTCCATTCCCAACATACGTCAGTTTGTAAAATTATTACATAGGCTCGAGGAACCTTTGTGCAATACCTGCGGAACCCTGGTGGGGAAGTGCTGTCTTCTAGTGTTGTCTCACCTGACATTAGAATAGTATTGTATGAAACGTTTGTGCAATTGTACTAACTCTACTGCATTCAAGTGTCTTCTCCCGTAATAGCCGACCAATGTTCCAATTGCGAAGGTCCATGAAGTAAGCAATACAAACCTCGATTTAGAAAGAAACATATCTTGCCACAAGCAGGCGACACTCAGTGATCCCTTCAATTTACCACGAACAACATTAAAAAGTTGAAGGAAGGCAAAGCTCTAATATTCCTAAGGATGAAAAGTAATATAAAAAAGAAAAGGTTGAAAACTAAGAGAAAAAAGTGAATAAAATTTTGTGTTTATAAATCGCGACATTTTTTGTTGTGGAAAAATAGCTTTCCTGCGCAAGTAATAACTTTTAAGTACTTTTGAAGATGGCGAAGTCACATTAGTCAATGGGCTATAACTTTTATCTCTATCTCAAACACTAATCACTATTTTAAAGCTTGTAGTTCTACTAATTTTATTATTATTTGTTTCTCAAACTCTCCATAAAACACTAATAAACTGCTATAATATTGTTAGGGCTATAAAATCACAAATATAACCACTAGAACTTTCACTCTGATTTACAGATATTTAGGGAATCAGTGGTGTATATGACAGGCCTACTTTAAACATGTTCTAAACTTAAAGTAAAAAATTCATCGTGTAGGCTAATCATTCTTGTGTATAGTCTGAAAGTATAAATATATACAAGTCAGATGCGTATGCATGATAGATTGGTTGTTTACACATATCAATCGATATCCACTGTATTATTTGTTTGTAGCTGCAATGTTGTGATTGATTCGCAATAAAACTGCTGGTCTTTATGAATCTCCTTCTTCTTTGTTTCGTGTATCCTGTACACTATGATTACGAATAACGTGTTGAAGATATTTAATACAGAGGATATTAAAATATCGAACTGATAACAGCATTTTTTCGAGGTATACAAGTGGTTTTCAGCTGTAAAAAATTTGATATTATCAAAACAATATTTTCAAAGGATTTTATGAAGTACACACAATGATTCATGTTTCACGATGCATGAAATTGTGTTAAGAAATCTTCGTCCATATGTTAAGAGTTATCACTATGAGCGATCTAAAAACTGCAAATTTCAGTTTAAACGTTTTTGATCTAAGCTTTTTTTAGTTTATCTCTCTTACTCACTCTCAAATCAAGTATATACTTACTATTCATAAGCTTTCACTTGGAAAGGAAAATGGAAAACTTAGTGGCCGATTTCAAATACAAAGAATTAAAAGTCCTAAAATACAGACACATAGCAAATTACTTAAACACAAATGTTATGAATACGTGGTCCCCAACTACTACTCAAATAACACCGACGGGTTCGCTATTCTTCCATGATGAAGCATAGTACAGCTCATAACAATCACAAGCTATAGATATGATAAAGAAAAAGTGTAAAAATAATGAGAAATAAAAGAAAATTCTGCGGAAAAGCAGAAAAACCTATTGACGAAACTGCCATATCCCATCGGAAATACGGTACATTTAAACAATTTCGTCATTTTAGAGTTTTGTCTTGTAGTAATTGCTGAAACCAGGACACATCGGAATAAAATCCACCTGCATTTATTCCCCGGTCTTATTGTTATAGTAAGATATTTTGTATTGCTCGTCATATCATTGCATTGGCCATTTCGGCTTTCTAGGTTTTAGGATCGCAGAGTACCTTTTCATTTTTATACTATTGCGGAATTTGAACTGACATTTCTCGTGATACGAACGACCAGTCATTATGAGGTTTTATGACAACATATGAAGGATTTTAAAGGGATTGAACGTTTCAAGTTCACAAGTAAATACGAATTGAAGTTACCATTCACAGTGGAATAATATATATCTATGAGAGCGGACATAAACATCCATTAGCCAACACACACGTAAACAAAGTAAAATAGAGCGTTAGTGGAATCAGTGTATTATTTTGAATGAATGGTATTATTTTTGTAATGTTTCACGAATCTACTAAGGCAGGGGTTCTCAAACATTGAAGATATATGACCCTCTTTTAAAGACTTGCGGCACCCTAAACTCTTCTATGAACGCTTTCGGTGCGTTTCCAGATGTTACTTTGTGCGTAAAAATCTATAATTTTTTTCATTGTCAGTAATTTGAAATATACTAGGTTCGAAAGTTCGTTTCAATCATGCGTTCAGGTGTCGGCATGGAAAAAGGTAATGAAAATTTTGTTCGAATCGTCAGTGTCTCAGTTCTTAATTTTGGACATATCACGTACGTCGTACGGTGTTAGAGATAATAGACGCGTTTTAATTAATTTATTACGTTAATTAGTCTCCGGGACTACCGTTATTGAAGTGATACTTGTTTTTTGTCACGTGCTGTCTCTTTATTGTTCATTGTCATACCACGATGAGTAAGGCATTTTCACCTTATAACCTACTTGCCAAAGCTTGCACCTGGTCCGATAGGTTTTTTTATGCAATAAATTACCGGAAATTGCGGGGATCGCTTACAAATGAGAAGTAGATAAGTAGGATTGGTAACTTTTAATTTGAATACTTTAAATTGATATGTGATTAATTACAAACAATGACGTCGTTCTGTTACAAATGTGATTTGTTTCTGGGTGAAGTAAGTAACGTTTTGTTCGTTGATATCTAGCCTACGATTTTTCAACAATTAGTAAGGATTTCTCTGATGTGCCGCTTAATTGTCCAAGTGTTGAAATGGATCTTTCACATATACAATCTCTAGATTGTTTATAACTTCAGCAAAGATAAATTGTACTAATTTGTCCTCACAAACTTGAATGAAGACATTAAAACTATCTATGGAAATCGTGAACGAAACCGTCTAGCACGTGAAACGTAAATATAAATCAAAAAGTTTTGTTCTCGCTTTCTAGCAAGTATCACTTTCTATTTGATATCACACGTGTTTTTGAATGAGAATATATTTGTAAATTCATATAAGCACGCAAAATATTATTATTCCATACAAGTCAATTGATTTTAAAATAGATCTTTTCAATGAGCTTATACTACATGTTACATGTGTGTTTACTTGTGTATATTCTCATTCAAAATACTTCATTCAAAATTATATATCTTTATAAAATGAAAAACACTTCCCAACTGGTTTTACATTCAGTAGAATATTTATACTATACTAAACTTTTATTGGTATTTTGTTATATAAATAGCAGCTTTATTTTCACATAGTTCAGCAATTACAGATTATTAGCTCCTGTGGACATGAATTTTAAACATGAAATGGACTTATAGCGTAATACGTAAAAACCATGACTTGGCATACAAATAAGCGTTTACCTTACTGTTAGTGCGTATTGGAATTGTGTGAAAGGAAATATCTCACTTGGTGAGGTCGTTCCATTGATACGTACGTGCGTCTATAATTAAAAAAACTAACTTTAGGACGCCTTGGAAATATGACGTGTATTTTGACTCTATTTGGGTTCAACTATGTCAAATTTGTTATCTTTCTGCTTGTACGTGCACCTATATTCCTGTATTTTAAGAAATTCGATAATAAAACTTAAGCAAACGTAGGATATCTCTATAAATACATAATTTTCGTAAACTTTTGCACGCTGGATAGAAAATGCTTATACGAAAGACGCATTAGTTTAATATCAGTGTTTTATGTATGGCAAAACTATGCAGCTACGATATTAAAATTTTCTGATGAAGGAAGATCACAGTTTCTATGAACAAATTCAACTGGATGGAAATCGAAAACTTTTCAAATAATTCAACTCTCGATACTTTCTTGATCGTATACTGATGACGCATTAATTCCCAGGACCGGTTTACAAATCCAATATTACCTATTCGCTTCCAAGATAATTTCGCCAACAAAGTTTTAAATAAGCAATTATTATTGGAATAAACGGATATGCCTGGCATTTCATGAAAGATCTATATATAAATGGACATCCACAACGTTCGTGAACTTTGAATGAAGCGTATGAATCATCATGGGTAATGATATATTTAAGAGGAAATTGATAAAATTAAAATCAGGAAACCTAATTGTAGATTAATAATTTTATTTGAATTTGCTAAATGGAACTTTTCTATATATTCAGCTATATACAGGTTTATAAATTTATGATTATTATACCTTCACTCTTTTTCAAGAATAACGTAGTGTTTCTGTGCCATCTTTCACAATAATATTTATTTCAATGAAATATAGAACATTGCGAACAAAATTGAACCACATTTCTGGAAATGCACACATATAAGTTTCATCATTATGTATTCAAAAAGGAATATATACTATTCGCCGATTAAAAAATTAGCTCATGACTGAAACCCTCATTGGATTTTGTGGGGCTCATTGATGTCAGTCAGCTTTTCATTCTTCTAATTTTAACTTACAGGTACAAATCATCGCCATGCATTGAGGTATTCCTTGGCGACAAAAACCACCGAATTCATTTCCGTGCTTTGGGAACCAAAAATAGGTTGCTGAATAGGTTGTGTAGATAGAAGTTTGAAGTTGCCCAATTTATACGAATTCTTATAGTACTTGAAGACATTTATAATTTCTATGATACACAAGCGGTTACCGATTGTGTTATTAAATTGAAAAAACATACTATTGCGAGTGCGATTATATTTCGAAACATTATCGCCCAAAATTCAATATGTAATACCGTTTCCATTTTTTAACAGCTTGGAAAACGTTATTTAATTGGTGTAATATCGAAATGATCATGAATATATATTTGAAGTATATATATTCTATCCCAAAATAATAATTTGCAATCCTTGAATACTAGTTTGTGAAACGATGTATGTAAATACATGGAAAACGACACTTTGGAAAACAAGTTAGTAGAGGTAAACTCTACCCAAATTACTTGTGATTTGATGAATTTCCAGAAATTCGTTCTAAAGTTTAATTTTTATTCCTAATGGCGTTGAAACGTTTCGACGCATTCTCTATTTGGTGCGCATGTCAGTGTATCAGAATTTTGTTTTAGATATCCATCGGTTTAGACAGAGGCACGTAAAGTTCACTATATAGACGAATACAGCTTGAGGTTCTTCAAGTTGGAGCTGAGTCAGTATTCACAGTCACATGAAGATCTATGCCGCCTCCAAGCGACAAAGATTTTAAATTCTTTTTTTATCAAAAACCGGGTCCATTAAAATTAATTGCATTCGATTTGACTAATCTCAATGGATACGATTTAAGTCACCATTAATTAAGTGATAGACCTTACTACAAGATAGGGATATGGAAATACTATTTAGCTCAAAACCTATATGGATGTTTGTAGTTGAATCGTTAGAGTTAGACCCTAGCATAAACTAGTTGTGTTGCGGTAATTTTAGAAGATCTTCAACTCGATTATATTAATAATCACTTATTGAATTCAGTTGAACGTTCATGAACATTGTTGCATTGACATTTCAACATGACAAATGAAGCAATAGAGCAGTGGTTCTTAATTAACCTTTGCAAACATGTCGAAGCCTACGTTATTCTGCAAGCTTCCGACAAACCCCGACGTTTTGAACAGTTAAAACCAGGGGCGCAACAAAAACTTCGTAAGCGGGAATATAAATTGCAACAAGAGAACTATTAACTCCACGCCCGACTGAGAATGAAATTGCCTTTCAGACAAACTTGCAACCACCCCGATCTTTGTGGTGTAACTTAAATTGTCCTTACACTTTGTCGAAATATCCATTGTTGTGTCACTAACAATGACGTATAGTGACAAGGGACTTGATGACAGAAAGATGGTTTATGTTGTATAACTTGTGTGGGTGGAAACTGGATAGGGCAAATAATGCATTGCAAATAATAATTTGGAGATTCGAAAACTGAAACAATATACCTCGAAAACGGAAATGGCTCTCGTTATTTTTTTTCTCAGATTTCAAATATTCAGCGTGAATCCCCAACGAAGCCATAAGCAGAAAGTATCTAAAAATGCTATAATGCAAAAGTACGCAAAAACGTGCGACAGTTTCGATGAAGTTTACCGAGATCAAACATTTTCAGGAACACAGAAACGTATATCTGTGCAAAACTTCAATAGCTAAGATATTTTATGAGTTGAAGTTTGAATATCTGCGGTGAAATAAAGTTATTTTTACATAGATGATAGGTTGTATAATAGAAACAACTTAATGGTGTACGAATGTTTCAGAGAACTTTCGTCGAACCCTTGAAGCAGCTCTACCAAACCCCAAGCTTCGATCAAACCCTGGTTGGGAACACTGCAATGAATCATTGTGCAAATATATCAAGGATATACTTGTTCTTCAGAAGCGTTTTCTTGAAACTTAAAAATAAATAAAAATTAGGATGCACTATAAAAACGAATAACCTTCTACGAATATACGCGATACTTTCATATTCACCTGCATAGAATTTATGACCGGTTAGCACAGTATTTAAAGAGGGGAATGTTTTGTCGAAATATATAGGTTGGGCTAATTCTGCCCCCTAGGATGTTTTTTTCGTTTAAGTTTGGGAAAGAAAGTTTAACAGAAAGTTTGGGAACCTCTGCCTTGTTAGTCTTCCACTGCTTATTTTGAGTAGAAAAGACAAAAGAATGTTGATTGGGGAAGGAAGTATTTTTCAATGGGCTCATTATCGCCACGTGTTAGGACAACTTTGTAAACCATATGAATCAACTCTTTTTGACAAATGTAATGTACTGGGCCTGGGGCATTGCAATGAACGTAAACTACTCATTAACTTTCAACGATATAAAGAAACGTGCATTCGAATTTGCTATCATCAATGACCTGCTCCACATCTTTTTAAGAAAAAACTGAAATGACGAGAATGGGTGTATTTTGCAAGGGCTCAATGGCCTTCTCACAATTCGCAAACCAGTCACTTTCAATTCAAAGAGCGGTTCATTTGATTAGTTAATTGTCAACGAATCTTTTGATTTATCAGTGACACTATGATGGGTTATTCCTTGTCTAGAGAACCTTCTCGGATTTATAATGTATATGAGACAGGAGTAAAAAGTATTGTTGGTTTTGACGGTTCAACGTACTCGATTGCAAAAAGATGGGGTGGAGGTGGTCTGTCTAATATACGATTGAAAACTCTGTAGGTGATTATGTTCCACTGAGTTGATATTCGAAGCCAAACGGGCATTTCCCATTTCGTCCGACACTGTTGTTGAGCAAACTGCGTCAGGCTTTACGAACAGGAAAATTTTGGACAATAACAAAAATCTGCTTTCTGGAAAAGTCGTGCTCATACTAGATTAGATAGACATTCTTCGCACACACGAAGCATCGACGTGCTAGATTTTACAGCCAACAACAACATCGAAATGATCAGCTTGCTTACACACTCAAGGCACATAAAACAAATCCGTATGAAGGAAGTCATAGTTCAAGACAGTAGTTTGAAGTGAGGAGTTCGTGATGGCAATAATCTGAAGCAGGGGTGTGCAACCTGCGGCCAGCGGGCGGGGAAGTTCCAATTTTCAATTGGGCTCCTTTGATCCAAGTTTTTGATTTAGTCTAGTATGTTCAAATAATTCCAATGCCTTTGCGCTGCAAGAGTTTGTGCAAAGCGAACAATGTTTTTCATAAGATCAAAAACCAAAATGTTTGGGCCTGCAACTATTAACAAATCTAAGCTAAATAAAGGTGCGGCCCGCATTTCAACCAGTTATTAGTATCTGGCCCTCCTGTATTAAAGGTTGCACATCCCTGATCTAAAGCATGATACAGAAATCAGAAAGTTGCCTAAGAAGAAAGGAATAGTGGTAGGATGTGAATATTAAGAAAAATAATAGTGATCTGATAGTTTTTGTTCAATTTGCATAGCTGAATTGACTTATGATTTGCTTTCTAATAAGGTAATTTCAATATAAACTCTGAACACATTTTCTAAAACTTGTTCATGTTTGTGGACTATAACGTAAGATTATCATGTGCAGTTACTTTAATACAAATCGCTAGTAATGGCCATCAAGCCTACAATTTACTTCGTGAGCCATATAAACTTCTTTCCTACAAGAATTTGCTCAAAGTATAGTCACGCGTATACTCACTCACAAGTAAAAAGAAGTGCGATTGGCCCCTGGAATATAAAGCTATATGATGGTGCCGCATCTAATGCTGATGGAACTTTTTTAAAAGGTGGAAAATGATTCTGTTACTTATGAATATATTGTTGAAAAAGTGGGTTGTATTACCTCACTATTGCATGTTAATGTTCATTGTATATTTGTACTCCTGACCGTCCTCCTGTCAATCAATAGTTGTAGTTCCTCATATGTTTTGTTGGAAATTACATGGCGACAGAATACATAGAACAGAATACCAATATTATTACCAATAAACTTATAGTAAATATATTTAAAAAAGTATTGCGAGATGGTTTATTTTGCTCGGAGATTCGAAAATATATAGGGCAATATATTTGAATTGTTTGAAACAACAATGAATTATGGTTTGTTTTGAAGCAAAAAATACTTTAAAGCTAGAACGTTCATTAACCATGCCAAACAGACATGCTCATCAGCTAAGATAATAAAATATGCTAATGAACCAAAGAAAAATGACGTTATGCATGTAATACAATTTAATACACTATACAAACACGCCTCAAGCTACGATAAATCATTACTGTACATTGATTTTGAATAAGCAGATTCTTTATACAATCTGTTAAGCCAAGCTTTACGCAACAAAGGAAATTTCTATTTTTTTTATAAGCAGAGTTAATTAAGAGGGAAAAAACTAAAAAGTCAAAATGGTTTTTATATTAGAATTCTTTAGAGCAGGAATTCGGGGGTGGCAAACCCAAATGCGATCTGAGTGCTAAACAAGGGGAAACGCAAACATGTCATGAGGTATCGTATACAAGATGATTTAACAAAACGTGCTGAATTTATTTGTTTGTACCACTTGCTTACTATGACGCTGGTATATGGGTGTGCGCTCTATGTTTATTCTGTTGATTGTGGCATCACCGTTTGGTTTCACAATGAAAACGCTTGTTGTTGATTTGATGATTTGAATTTTGATCCAAATATCCATATTCATTTTAGGTTGGAATAGCAGTGAAAAAATAGATTAGGCTTCCCGAATCTTCAATAAAATCACGGCTATTAAGCTATCTATTTTTTGTAGTCCATGCATTTTATAAATGATTAGCGAGCAGAGGCGAGTAAGCTGATGCTCTGCCTGCGTGTGATTTAACGTAAGACTGACCTTAATTTTTCAAGAAATAAGTGAAGTAAGTTCCTGTCAATTTTTCAAGTAAGAACAGGCAGTATATATAAGAGCATATATAATGTGCCTGTATATAAACTATTCGGAGAGGGTTTTTGTTAGATAAAAATTGTTTCCAGTCATATTGGAAGTACTAAAACCTCAACCAAAAAAGTTCTATAAATTAATAAGCACGGAATCGCCGGTGTAGGTGGTGAAGAAATATGTGTTGTGTGTTCTAAAGAAAATGCCTAGGAATCCCCTCCAGATACGGAAATTAATTAGACAGTGGCAATTCCCGATAACAAAATTATTGAGTTTCAAAAAAATATATTCATGTGATTTTGCTAATTTTAATTGGAATAAAAAATGAAATGTTTTCGCTTATTTTACTAAATATCCCCACATAACCAAACTCTGAAGTTCAGTGAAAAAATATGTATAACAGTAGAACAGTCTACTCATAAGAATAGTAATCCGGATTCAATCACTCATTTATATTAAATTAAGCTCCTTTGTTTAGGAAAATCATTGCTAGTTATTATTATAGTGTTTCACAGGCTTGAAATATGAATTATGAAAAGCATGTCGGACTATTATGGATAATTGCAACCCTGATGTTGATGCAAGCTATAGACATCGTGGCTTCCTCTCCCCCATGGGATCAAATGGGTATGTCTAATTTAGGTAGTTTGATATGTATTATGGATTAGAGGCATGGATATTTGTTGCTCAAGTTCAAAACTTTTTAGTTGGGTGCTAAATTCAATTCACTATCTCATCCATGGTCAAATAAGTGTGCTGTGCGATGTCAAATGTGAAAGACTGTCTGTTCAATATACTTTCTCGCTTACTATTTGAAATCTTTCGATAAAAAGTGGGTCTAATTCGTATTCCAGGAGGCGGATTCAAGGAACAGTTGGAGATGAATGAATATTGGAGAAAAATTATTGAAGAATGAAGCCGGGAATATATTTCAAAGTCTATATTTTGGTTTATGCAACCCGCACCAATTGTATATTTTTGTACAGTATTGCCTTAAAACTATTGTTCTTCCTAACAGGTAGTCATCGCGTATATCAGAATAAACATTGAAATTTATTATAATTTGAAACACACCCAATATGTATTTACGCCTAAATAAAAGCTGAATTGAAATAACTGTACCTACGATTTGTTATTATTGCCAGAATGCAGGGAGTTCCAATACATATTCTAGCGATCTCATTTCCTGAATAAGCATGCTCGCCAAGTCTGCAAACCCCCATATTCCGTGTACTGCAAAGCTACACAACTGGTTCGATAATATGATCACGAGCGTAAAATACTTTATGAAACTCCAGAAATCCGCGGTTTGTACAGTTATATATAATACAGAGCAGCGAAACATATCGTCAACAGCAGCCAGGCAAAAGAGTAATTAACGGCATGCTAAAATACGGTCACGTGGACAGAGATGCTCGGAGTCAAGTAAGTACAGTCAATCTCCCTAAACTCTTGTACACGAAAACCGAGACCATACAAACCAGGGGTGGGCACGGTTTTTGGATCAAGGGCCAAAAAATTTGCCCATCTAGACTGGCGGGCCCTGTAAGAATGATGTGAAGAGTCACGTTTTATAAACAATGTTCACAGTGTTACAAAAGCAACAGTGGAAAACAATAAACCTCGTGCCAAAACTAAATTTAACCGTAATCTCAACAAATTCCTCATGCTATTTCATAACTGAATCATCAAAATTTGGTTTCAGTTTGGTTATGACAGCATTAAGCGGGCCAAATTGAATTACCTAGCGGTCCGGATTTGGCCCGCGGGCCGTACTTTGCCCATGTCTGATATAAACCATCGGTTCTCAACCAGTGGGCCAAAACCCACTTCGGTCACAAACTTTGAATAATAATTGATGATGCTGAGTGGTAATTCTCATATTAATTACTAAAGTGGAAGTGTTTATCTTTTCGAAAAGAATTTTTTTTAATTTTCCTGTGGATTTTTTTTGCAAAGTGGGTCATGAAAAAAAAGGTTGAAAACCACTGATGTAAACAAATGAAACAATAAAAAGAGCCAATTCAAGGACGCCACAATACTCGTTAAAAGCTAACTGGTTACCAGAACGTTTCTTATCGACGTCTAATTCTCCTTATGAAAATCCTATCCAGATTTGGTCACCCGTAGGAAATAGAAAATGACTGTTCAGGATTGAAAAACGGAACTGTTGGGGGAGAACATTGTCAAACGGTTGAAGACTGTTGGCTCTAATCCACAGGTTTTCAACTAGTCGGACATGGCTCACTACTGGGCCACAGAAACATTTTCAGATGGGCCACAAACCTACTGGAAATTGAGTTTCATTTGTCGCTATAGTTAAATTGCAGTAGACATAAATGATGCCGCTATTGTTTGCTGCAGAGTGGTAATTTTCATTTTTATTATTAAAGTGGGTATATTGCAGAACGAATTCTTATTTTTGTAGATTTACTCTGGCATGGATACGGGCCACGAAATTTTTGTGCAACAATTGTTGTACTGGGCCACGACCGACGAAATGTTGAGAACCACTGCTCTAACTTAAGCGACACGCTCCCAAATCCCAATATGTTCGGTACAGAGGTTTTAATCCAATACTGATTATTATGGGCTTTTGGAACATAACCGATAGCCGTTTTGAGGGTCCACACCGGTGACCAACCATAACAATCCAGTAAAATAGAGTTACCGGTATTTTTAATATAATATATTACCAAGAGACCGATGCTCAAATATATGGACACCAAGGCTAAAATTAAAGAAAGGTATGCAATCTGACAGTAGACTACAGCCACAAGGTGCGCGATTTTTATTTTTGATGACGTCATCCCACACAAAAAAAACTTAGTAGAACCCACAGAAATTTTTGAGGAATAAAAGAAATAGCCTTCCAGCGACAAATACAATATTTACCCACTCAAAATTCGAAAGCAATTTGATACTTGGTGTCATAACATCATTCTAATGACTTATTGGCCTCTCAAATGGTTAAGAAATGCTATTCTGATATTTCGTTGTTAAGCATTTCTAATTTCCCAATTACAATCATTGTATCAACATCCAACACATATTCCATATACTTGAATTATTTAATCAAAACAATGATTTATATCTTAACCAATTATATAAAATTATGAGTCAAAATGAACGAATAATTGTGTGCATAGTCAATTAAGATATTTACTGAATACTGTCACCAATACAAAAACTCTATACTAGGATTTGATCTCATAGCATAAGATACTGGAGATTACCAATATTTTTTTTTCGATAAATTTAATAATTGTCAGCCTGTTCACCCTATATTGATATTCACCTAGCCACCAGGAAAAATCAGAAAAGTAATTTTCGAAATATTGATTTACTCTCATATACATTTTAAAATATGTTCATATTTTTCAATCTGGAATATATATATTCTGTGACAGGCAAAGTAAACAGCCCATGTATAAGTAAGAATGTTTAACCTAGAAATAGAGTAAATATTCAACAGCATATTAGTTCTTCAGCCTAGTTAAACTAAAATTTTACAGGATGGACAGATTCCAGCAATGTACTCAAAATTGAAAGCAAATGTGAATATTTAATACAGCTTCATTATGGATATATTGAATGCTCAATTATAAGCATCATTGTCAACCATCAAAAAAAAATATATAGCAGGTATATAGCATAGTTTTAAGTTGAAATATTTTCAGTAACTCCAGCAGTATAATTTCAAATTGGCTCTACACCAAATGTAAAGTGAATATCTGGTACTTTGTTATGATGTAACATGAAGAGTAATCATTTATGCTTCAGGATTAACATATCTTCCAACAAATAATATGGTATTGGTAGGTTTGTGCTTTATGAAAAACAAGAATGGATGATCACACATGAATTCATGTGGAGGAAGAAGTGCCATCCTCGTCATAACAATTGCTGTAGCTGCTGCTGCTTCAGTGCCTTCTTCGTTAACTTCAACAAAAGCTTTGTGAGCAATCGCTGACACATAAAGATCTTCTTTACCTGCGAAATAGTAGTCATATATCATGAAGCTGAAACGATAATTTATTATCTGAAAGATCGATTTCAAACTGGAAAATATAAATGGTGATTTGGTGTATGTATTTCAAAATTAAATGTCTTAGATCACTTACTGTTATACTGGCCAAACTACTTTTATTCGGCTTGTATTTGTATAAAAAATCTACTACTTCAGCATGACAAACTCAGGAATGAGTGAAAGTTATATAAGAATTACACTGGGAAAAGTTCAAAATGCTTTGATTAACTATTTTAATCATACTCAATATTCCAAATTCTTTTTTTATGCTATTTCAACAATATCCCTCAGGTTGATAGTAATTTTATGACTTGAAGTTGAAATTTCAACATTTTGTGCCCCATGTATCTAATCAGAACAGTTAAATAATGCAAGCAATAAACGGGTCTTGCAATAAAAATTGGTTTTCAAAATCAGAAATGTATTTATTTTATCACACTACCATAGCACCGGGACACAAGATATACAAAATGAAGAATTCAGATGATTAAAATTGCATTTTTTTGTTTGTATAATTAGCCACTTTTGAGGGGAATCACAAATATATTTCTAGCCTACACCAGTGATTCTAGACACTGCACACTAATTTTGAGGTGCGACACCGCACTTTAATTCCTAACTTGTATTTGTATATCCAGAAAGTGGATTATGTGCCGATGTAGATGATCGATCAAATACATTTTGCAACTTACAAATAGTTTTATCGCCAATAGAAAAATATCTACCACCCAATAAATTTGAACATACTGTATAGCCCTAAAATTAAAGATTAGATTTGGATAGGTATATCAGCACACCAGAGATCTAATATTAAATGTGTTAATGAGAATCTCTTACATGAAATTTTACTGAAGTTGGCACCAGATCCGAAGATACTTCTTGCACCAAGACCTTTGAATGATTCGACAAGGTCACTGCTGTACTCAATCTTGAATCTTGGCAAACTGAGAACAACTTCTTCTTTGAAATAATTTTTTTCCATTTCATTTAGTTTTTCCGCAGAAAATTTCTTCTCAAGCTCATTTAGGCCAAATTTTTCTGATGGAAGAGCAATAACCATTGATGTAGTTTCACCACTATAGGGAATTTCCAGCAACTGCAATTTCAGTTCCTCATCAAAAGCAAATTGATATTTAGCCTTTCTCTTCATGAACTTCGCTTTCACAACTTTCTGTGGTGTGACATGAAAATCTCTTTCTGTGGTATTCTCTTGTTTGAACTGTTCCTGCCAGTTTCCTTTGAAGTATATGGCATTGGCCAAAACAAGGCGGGTGTCTGCAGTTATGGTTCCAGGCTGGAGCAAATCTTTGATTTTGTCTTTGGTAACGTCTGAGACCCATTTATTAATAGCTTTTCTTGCCTCTTCCCCATTTTTAATAAAGTCTAGGGGCTGTATGTCTGTCTGGAACACTTCTTTAACCAGAGCCAAAAAATCCTCCTTAATTTTAAATGAAGTCTCTGGGTAAAGTTTGTTAGCTGTGCTAAGTTCTACGCCTTTCACCGCTTGTAAAATAGAACTTCTTGTTTCCCGTAAATGCTCAGGAATATTACTGACATTCTCCAGACTCAAAGCTTCTTTCAATTCAACCTCGCTCTTTTCGGCACTACCCAAAAGCAAAGCGCTGGCTGCGGAAAACACGCTGAAAGGGGAGAAGAACACATTTCTCTCGGCATTATTGCTGGCTTTGAGAAGCTGGCCGAGCAGAGCAAATGCAAACTTATTGTTAGCACCCTGTGTGGGTTCTTGAGACATAATTTTCAAACGAATTAGTGCAACTGTACCAGAACAATCGATTGAATAACTGTGGGCGTACAGTAACAGTCAAATAATTTATAAGCTTAGGAAAATAAACAAGCTCGTCGGCATTGCGTTAAACATTAACTATTCACTAATGGAATAATGTGACACATCACATCCGTAGCTGCGTCAGTAAACCATTGGCATGGGCATGGCTGTGACATGTGATTAGGTAATAAAGTGAACCGGTATAGGATTATCATTGTACCCAGTGCGTCATTCATCATATGACAGCTTGAACGAATACCGCGCGCTTTGTGAAATGTGATTGACAGTGAAATAGTACCTTTGGGCAACTGCATGAATACGTGTCGATGATTAACTCGTTTACGGAAATGACGGATGAGGTTGAAGAAAAGAAAAGTTTCAAATCGAATTGGCGTATATTTGAGACGTATCCACACTCAAACGCAATGGTATTTGCAACACGTATCCACACTCAAACGCAATGGTATTTGCAACATATATTGCAAATATTGTTAGCGGTCTGATGTTTGACTGACAATAGTACTCGCTAGATGGCGCTGGTAAGCTGAAATTTTGGGAAATAAATGTGAAAAACATACTGCAATTGTACCACTCACCCGTTCCCTGTAATATCGAGTTTACCTATAAATTGCATCAATTTATGACATCCTTGACTTTATCTAGACTAGACTCGGATATTTCACCTTCTTCTTGTTTATGAATTGTTTAAAGCGGCCAGTAGGACCTACTGACGAAAGCAAGATACAATATACTTATACATGATGTAGGCCTATGTCTAAATTCCTCGTACGCACTCAAACCTAAATATTATTGTTGTATTTTTACCCGTATTGTCCTCTAGAAGACAAAACAAATTTATACGATGCCATAGACTCGCTCGGGTATAATATTAAATTCAGGTTTTTATACAGACAAGTTTATTTGTTCATAGAAATCTAATAGAAAACAAGTATATAAAAAAGAATATCAGTGAAAAACATGCAATTGCCAATTTTCATTTATTTATATTGCTTACATTTTCATGCTTTGGGAAACTATATTTACAAAATGTAATCAGCAAATTTTCCACCAAACCCCCAAAGTTTTATTAAACCGAAATCTTTAGTGCCGAGATAAAATTAGTGTCATTTGCTTATTCCATGTATAATAGAACACAGTTTCTGAGTGCGATCATTGTGCAATGCTCTCTATGCAAACTTTTGCGCAGACTTTGGAATATTCACAGATGTTCCGTTTTTGCGTAGAATAGAATAGATTATTATATTTAACATATATATGAACAAAGATTGTCTGAGTATTATAGATGCACTCAAAAACAGTTATAAAAAGGATGGATAAAATAGTACGAAATGAGAACTGTTTTAATAGGCGCAATAGATAGACAAGCAATTTACAATAACACATAATTACATGAAATCCTATTTTTATCAACGGAGGACTTCAACGAATTCAAGGTCATGTGTTTCTGACGAAAAATGTTACAAAATTTCCAAGTCATGATTTTAAAAGATGACGGAGATAGGTATCTGGCATACTTGTCACCAAATACATCCATACTGATCTTCAATATATAAAACGCAACCGAAGTGCGCAAAACATTTATATAAAGTGAGCGAAAAAAAAGCGACGATATTTTTGCCACTGTGTGAAAATTTATAATATTTAAAAGTTAATAATAAAGTGTATGAAGTTCACCAAAACATGTCTGATAAAAATTTTGTTTGGATTGTAAATGTCAACGAAAAAATAATAATTAGAGGTATTATGTCAATTATGTGTCATCATAGGTTTAGAAATGCTATATAAAACAAAATAAAATGCCACAGAGTACGTGGAGATATATTTGAAAAATGTTTCATTATGTACTTTCAGTCAATTATCATCCTTAACGCAAAGGTCAGGAACATTATTTCATATTTGCGACAATATCTCTGATGTAGAGAAAACGACGTCAATTTCATTCCATCAATTTTTTACAATTCCATCATAATAAATAGGCCGAGAAATTAATAAAAAATAGATCAAATCGTATTAGATATGTACCTTTAGTATTTGCTTTTGCTTAAAATAAATTTATGCAAATGCCAAATTTCCATACAATAAATAGACATTTTAGTATTGAAAACCCATCTCACGCGTAAACATGAAAAGGGGCATATTCAGCACTCTCGTGAGAAAAGCGAATAAAATAGCAATAAAAAAATTTTCTAAGAATATTAACTGTTTCTTGATCTTAAAAAAGGTTGAAATATAACGCCTTTTAGCGCTAAACATCAAATAACGCTTTTTAAAATGATGTGTGAATTTACAAAACAAAACTGAAATTTATGCTAAGGTAACCACATTTCCCATCAGACGCCATGTTAAATATGGACATGTAGGACGATTTATTTAACTAATATTTTGATGATGCTTCATTAAAATTATAATAAAAAAGGGTTTTCTAATCGGGCACAAAATATGTTGAGAGCCATTATAGTTTGTGCATGTCACAATTTTGCTTGTCAAGCCCTATCAATATGAGTCACCGGCGCCTGCGGGGTAAATACCGAGTCAATTTTATATGCAAAATTGGTTGATTGTATGTGCAGTTCATATTCTATCTCCAATTGTTTAAAAATAGTACAAACATTGATGATGCAACGAGATGAATGACATACAATGAAGATACTCGTCCGGCGGACGACCCGTCTCCGTCACTTTCTTGTTTCTCTGCAACTCCAGTAGGTTCAACAGCAACTGCAGTAATTGCAACTTTTACACTCTTTGGAGATGGTCGTGGGGTGAACTGTCCAGGGGTCTCTTTTTGAGGTTTTTCTATAACTTTATCTGTGGTGGCTAACACCTCATTTGTCGTTGTACTTGTAATGTCTGTCGTGTAGTACGTGTCTTGAGACGTTGTTTCAATCAAATCCGTTGATTTGGTGCTTTCAGTTGACTGAGGCAATGTACTCGTTATTATTTCCTTCACAGCTTCAGTCGACCGTTGCGAAGTTGTTTCGGTTGCAATTGTTGCTGACGAAGCAATACCGCCGTTTGTTGTTATTACTTCCACACGTGTCGTGGTGGTGAAAAGTTCTCCGGGTTCGTCGGTTAAAGTTGTGGTGGGGTTGGAAGTTGATATAGTCTCAGACTGTAACGTGGTAGTGGCTTGTGGTGTTGTTATCATACCGGTATCGTTTTCCTTTTCGAAAGCCGTGGTTTCAAGATAAATTGTGGTGGTTTCGCCTGCTTCCGTAGTTATATCTTCAGTAGTTTCTTCCAAAGGCTGCGTGGTTGTGTATTCTTCAGTTGTCTCCCGAGAGGTGGTTGTTTCGGTGCCGACAGTTGTAGTTATAATGTCGGTTGTTATTGTTGTTGCAGCAAATGAAATCTTGGTAGATTCAGTAATTAATATTTGAGTTGTCGACTCATTCACAAAATTTTCTTCAGTGGGAATTTCTTCGGTGATTTCAACTTCAAATGTTGTCAAATTCAACATCCAAGATGGAATTGTTGTCGCCAGATCTATAATAAATTAGGTAATGAATACATGGTATGCTTTTAAATAAAAATTTTAAACTATCTGGTAAGTGTTACGGTGAGCAACAAAGTTGTTGTCTTCAGTGTGGTTTCTAAGCACGCTAACAGTATTGATTTTGCTCTGACGTCAGTGTTCCCACAACTTACAAAATAAATCGAAAAGGAATGAAATGTGTTGAACTCGATTACAGTCATGTCTAAACTTGTGTAGAACGTTCATTCATGTGAAGTGATAACTAAGTACTCACAGGCAGTTGTTTCGTCATAGTAAGTTTCGTAGTCTTCAGTCGTTTCTGACGGCGGGGGTACGGCGGTCGTTACGTTAAAATCACCTAAAAAGAGGAGCAATTGTTTACTGACTAGTGTTTCTAGGTAAAACAGAGTCGTTTCATTGGGCTCTTCATTTTTTTTTATCATTTGTGTAATCGTCGATATAAAGTAAAGTAATTCTATATCATTCGAAAATACACGATGTTCCAACTACAAGAGAATTGGAAACGCTCGGTGTCCAGAAAATGATCCTCCGTTTCCATTCGATTACGCTTACAGTAACTCTACTAGTGTATGAGTTTTTCGGACAAACAAGAAAATTCAATATTTTACTAAATATATTTATATAGAAAAAGTACTTACGAATACATAAGAAATCACTTTCGTCGTCTTTTTCTGGACAATCAGGATTTCCGTCACAGATTTGAGCATCTTTAATGCAAGTCACTCCATCCATACATGGATAGTCGTCTCCCTCGCACTCATCTATTAAAGAAAAAACACTGGTTGTTGAGATAAAATTCAAATTTCTGGCTGATGTAGCGATGAAGGCGATATGTTGGGCAAAGACTTATCTCGTGTTGCTATAGTTTTGAAAAGTTATGCAAAAACAAGGCATTGTTAACATTCTAATTGAAAAAAGTAAACATGTTCCCACTTAAAATACATTCATCGTATAATGTAAAACGGTCCAAAATAAAAAGTGACGACATTTTAATGCCAACAGGTGGAGGATTTGAACTCCTGTACAATCCTGTCAAGTGCAAGAATCTGTTTTTTTGCCAAATTTAAATTCAAGTTTTTGTTTGTGTTGAAACATTTTCAAGGTCACACAATTTTCCAGAACATTAGAAAATCCTTATCGCCACAAATACAGATTGTTTGAAAAAATCGCCCGAAGCTTTCGTAATTTCACCCAATTATGTCCAAGGTAACGATTTCGAAGGCCAATTTTGGATGTTTTTGTGGCAAAAATTACAACGTTCGTATTGTAAAGTATTAATTTAGCAAATATGTGAATACCTCATTCAACAAATCGTGATGGCAAAAAGTCATATGGGGAGACGATTGGCGCACGTTTCGAGTGCTACCGCAAAAAAGATATTTAAGATGGATTATAAAATTCTCTATCCGGTGAGATTTGACATTTTGCTATAGCTCGATAACAATTGCTGGTTTATCGCGTCTCCCTTCACAATGAAATGCATTTTTTTTATCTTTTTTAATTATGTTTGTCCAATGTGTACTTCCGATTTTTGATAAAATAAACTACTGACTATATATCATATAAATTGTGTTACAACTTAATTTTACAACAGTTTTGTATAGCGAGGGAAATCTTAATTGATATTTTAGGCGGATTATAATATACTTTGTTACGAAATACTATCTTTAAAAATATATCCATATTTATTTTCCAAACTGTTTCAAAACTCAAATTTTCCTCTCATTCTTTATATTAGGTTGTGAAGTTATTTTTCATAAAAGATGTAATATAACACAAAAATGAATAATGATAGAGATATCAACAGAAAATAAAACACTCACGTTCGGGCACTGGAGGTTCAATGAGACGGTCTTCCTCTCCAGCTATTATAAAAAAATATATTAAGAGGTAAATTTCAGCCAGGTATTGCAATTTTCATAGATTCTAGACTGAGTACATTCTGGTCTTGAACAAAAATGAATGAATTGAAGAAAATAATTGGGCAACGAAATTTTGAAAATAACTTGTCGTTGTGTTGGGCAATACAAATACGGATACGAACAACTGAAAATCACATTTGTCTGTCAAGTGCATTTTCGAGCGTTATTACTGTAACGTTAAGATGCCTGGGATTGTGACTCATTCACTTATCGTCTGCAAAAGCGGAGACGCGTGTGCAATTAGAAACCGCAATCCCACTACGACCGATACAACATATTTTCGAATGCTGCGCGATGCACAAAATCTTATTCATTGCCGTCTACAAAGCAGTATTTTTTAATCAAATTTCGTTTGAGAACTTACCGTCCGAATCCAATGACGAACACGGTTTGCTATGTACTGTTATATCGTCGATAGCGATATCAGATGTGTAAGCTCCACCTCGCACGCCAGCAAACATGACCTACGATAATAATAAAAACAAACATGAAGATCAGATAGAGTGAATTTACTCTTAACATCCTAAGGTTATTTTTGGCCACAACACAAGTAACACCGCTTTTTTCTGATATCTCAAAAAGATGTAACAGCATTGAAGGAAAAGCTTAATCATTATGTAACTGTTCTAACACACTCAATGTACGACAAAATCTGTATTTTTCTCGGTAAATTTTTTTTCACCGTAATTGATAATTAGCTTACTTTGAATGAATTTTCCAAACGTTCTATTCCGAAAGTGGCACGTCTCCATTTATCTCCTTGGTTGCCAGATTTTATCCATTCAATATTTCTATTTTCACCGTACGCCACACCTACTACAAGTGACCCAATACCACTACCATACATATGGTACCTGAAAATAAGCGTGTAAAAGATATATATATATTCGTAAGTTAACCAGTAAATAAAAATAGATTCAGGAAATCGAAATTACGGCGAGATGAGAAAAAGCTGACATAATAAACATTAGATGTTTAGCAATACAACGTTTTTACATGAATAGTTGTTAAAAATATAAAGAAATTATCATTTCAACTCACCAAAATTCGACACAGAAATTTGTTTGACCATCCGCGAATTTCATTTCGGGACTGGAAAAGATTGCGGTGTCGTTTTCTTTTTGAGGTTTCGATCCTTCCATGTAAGCGTATTTGCCCACTGAAGTAAAATGCAAACACAGTTTTAATTTCAATCAAAACTAATTTCTTCATTTTCGATCGAGTTAAATATTCTATACTTTCGAAAAATTCAATTTATTTGTAATATTATATACAATTTGGATGAGGCGATATACAGTAATTTGAAAAAAAAAATATTCAAATAATTAAATTAATCGACTTTGACAAAAAAGAAACCATTTTAACCAGCTACGACGATGAATGCCGCATATTTACCTTGTTTTCCAGTTGTATGATCAACAGCTGGTCCCGTATTAAGTGTTTTTGTTTTTCCACTGGATATTTCCCAGTCAAAAGTATCTTCGCTTGATTGGACATTGTTCCAATCTTTGCAAAAACCTTCTTCAAAGTTGCACTGGTATTGTACTTCTTCTGCAGAAATTATATTTTATAAAAATGAATATCATGTAAAATTAAATATTTTATAACAAGCAAAAAACGAAATAAATACATCTAAAAAAAACTACGCTCGACTTTTTTAAGATCTCATACCTTTATCGCCTTCTTCGGTCGGTTTATTTATTGTATCCCATGACAACACGAATCCTTCTCCTTGGCTGTCGCTGTCAGAATAAAATCCAATCCTCACTGCGTTCGAAATACTGACAATTGGGTCGAATGATTCCTGCCCGCAATATCGCTTTTTGCCCAGGGCGGTTGGTGGAACTTGTGGGTCAGTCACTCCCATTGCAACTGGTCCATGCAAATGGGGACTGACTCCAGCATCCCACATTTTTCCGTAATCCACAACGAGAACACCATCGAAAGGACATTCTGGCGGCCCAACTTCAATGTCCATGTAGTCAAATTTCATCTATGAGGTAACAAATTGTTGAAATTGTCATAATAAATTTGAATATACAATTGTCTTAAATTTGAAAGGATATGTTTTTGTGGCTTCATATTTAATTAATTTAAATCATGTGAATCTTCTCTGTAACCAAGAACTCTTATTGGAATCATTTTGAGATATGAACATTGTTAACTCGATGTACAGCAAAGATATTTTGTAGTCGCCGGGTTTGCGGTCACAAGCTACTGTAGACACGTATTAACTTAGAACAATAAAAAAGTAATATTATTGATAACGGTATCTTTTTATTTTATGTAAAGCGTGCAATAAAAACCAATTTTAATACATGAAACTCACTCTGATCAGCTTTCCTGGTTGGACTTTTATCTCCCAAGAGCAGTTTGAGTTTGGTGGATAAGTTGCGTTCGGAAATCTTGGACTTGCAATTCTCCCAGTTTCTTCAGTAAATTTGCCTTCGCAGGATCCCATTGCGTCAGCTGTGTAGAATGAAGAATTTTAATTTGAGAATATTATTTTACCAATACTGTTTATACTGAAATACTGAAATATTTTTACTGAATACTGATGATCTACCAGTCTCTGCTACAAACCATACGAGGTTCTTGACAAATGCAGCTAATTTTAAGCAATTAGCTACTAATGTTATGTTTACTTGTTCGAATTTTTGTTTTGATATAGTCTAATGCAAATCTACTTTTGTTCACCTGCTGCATTGTTTTTGGAGAAAAAAATTAAAGGTAGTTCTAGGAAATTTATTAAGTTGCTTTACCGGTAAAGGTGTAAAAATTGTTGCATAAATAGAGCATTACCCCATGTCGCGCGGTGAGTGTCATCAAACAAATAACAAATAAATACACAGTCACGACATTGTTTTGTGACACATTGAGTATTATCATATAAACTTACGAACGATTTTTAAGAAGATACATAAATTTTTCCAAAAATTACATGTTATTGAATTTTTTCGTTTTTTATTTCTTGTAAAAATATAGTTAATAATTATACTATGGCCAACGGGAGCAGCTCATCAAACACAAATAATTATAAAATAATTTTAAATAAAAAATAATGTAATAACGGAGTAATTTTAGTAATAATGTGCAATTTTGTTGACGATACACAAACAAGCCAAGGTATCACGATAATATGATTGCAAATGCGATAAAAAAAAATTATCACCTATCACACATCTTTTGAAGCTCAAAAATAATGTACATAAAATTTTGTTTCGAGATATAAAAAGATTAAGTAAAATATCGTTTTTAAGAAAACATTTTTGCACTAACACACCGCATTGGTTCAGGTATAAGAAATTACACAAAACGAGAATAACTTTTAGTAAAACAAATTCGTGAGTAAATGAAGCTATATTCCTATCCGGTTTCGTAATGAATATACATGCGTGCAGAAAAGTCGTTTAAAAATAAGTATTTGAACTATTTACTTATACTTTTGTTTATGTTAATAAGAAATAACGAAAACAGTAATTATTTAAACGTGCTACTGATTTTGTAACATAATGTCGTCATAGTTGATTGATAATATCACGGGTTTTTGAATTATTTATTATTCTTATTTCATTTTTTGGTAAAATATTTGTAACAATGATTCCATAATTAGTAATTCATTGTGCGAAGTGATACTAATTTGCATATTTCTTTCGAAAATGATTGTTTGTGATGATAACAATTGACCTGAGTCAGCATTTCATAAGTAATAATAATATAAACAAGTAAAATCTCATTTGAAAGTAATGTTGCAGCCAGCCACGCACAAGCTGACACGATAAAAATTGCTTCAAAATATTGAGCTTATCGTGTTAATCACATTTCCTGATTTTAATTGGTGGCGGTGATAACATCAGAAAGGGCAGCTGGATAAAAGTATATTTTTATTGAAATTCAACTTCTTTCGTTGCGTGTCGTAATTGTGCATTAAGTGGAGAAAATTTGATGTATTTTTCCCAAGTTAAAATCTCAATTTAGCTTTGTATACTGTTACTATCAACTATTTATTTACAAAAATCATTTTATAACACGTGTATCATATCATACATAAGTCAAAAATTATGATTCGAATATATTGCAAATTGTGGATTTTTATCTTGAATAAGCTAGAAATATGAGCAAAAAAAAATTGGGTTAAAAAAATCGCACAAACTCTGATTTAAATTGGCAAATCTTTTCGAAAAAAAAAAAAACTGTAAATGTGGTGTCGAGCATAAAAATGATTAGGCTGTGGGGTTAGTATAAAATGGCCGTTTCATACTTACGTTTTGGAAGGTCATTAGGAGGCGGAATGATCGAGTCAAACGGATCTATTACGACGCGATCTCGTCCATTCGTATCTAATGCAAAGTTTTCCATAATATTCAGAAAGTCATCGTCGCTAACTCCAAGCGCTAGTTCATCGATTTGACCTTTTGCTTTGATTATGAAAATCCCACATAAGATAAACAGCCGATATAGCATGCTATTCGTCATATTTTGATGTATATATGTTATTTTTTGATAAATGGATCTACACATAAAAAAAATATGGTAACAGAGAATAAATTTTATATTAAAGTCTCAAGTACCAAGTTGCATTTAAAACAATGAAACTTATAATATTTAAAAAATAATTTGGAATATAGGAGCTAAATCATTTGAGTTTGAAAACGAATTTAAAATAAGCAATTAAAATAAATGAAATTGAATTACTTCCAAACGTTGATAAAAAATTGGAAAAATTTTAGAATGCCAAACTCCCTGTATGTGAGCATCGTAAAAACATCGTTATACTAATTAAAATTACGTATCTTGTCGATCTAAGTACATTCTGAACATGATTTTACTTCAGTTAGTAACGCAACGCGTAAATTATAAAACCTTGGTATACACAAAGAAACGCAACATATAAATAAATAAGAAATGCATAGGATTTGATGAAAAACGAATTAATTTGAAAACCGACTTGTTGATAGTCGGCGAGTCAAATTAAATAGACTCAGATATTCGATGAATTTGTATATTTACTGTAAAATATTCGTAAAAGAAAAATTTCACCGATGGAATTTAATACAGATTGATGCTTATGAAGTATATGAGTATTTTCCCAGCCATTTTATCATCTTGTAATCGTTTGCTGTCGATTCACTTTCACTTTTTTTTTGAAGTTTATTGGAGAGCGCATTGGCATTTTCTTACGCTACGTCTTATTTGCCCTTTACTCTTTTCACTCACATTTAATACCCAATTCTCCTCTATGCTTTGAAACATCTAAATGTCGATCAAGTGATTGAAGGCTGGCGAGGAAATATTTGCCGAAATTTGGATAACAATGCCAGACTCGAGATATGAAAATATGCCATTTATACCGAAAGTAGGAAGCAATTTGGGCTTTACAGTTCACATATCTCTGGTGTTTTCCGACCACTTTTCTACCGAATTACCGTCTGTCTGTCTGAACGCTAATTGCCGATTGACAACTAATCCTTCGCCTTAACAATTCGTTACCATTCTGATTTAAAATATTTATAAAAACAAAAAAAATGGCGGACTGAACCATCAAAAATGCATAGCAATTATTGAACAGCTTCGTTAGTGACGTTGGAAAAGCTAAAATTGAATACTAAACCCCGCCGTTTTGAATCCTAATCCCAGTTCAAATTGTTTAGATTTGTAATCGATATTTTTAGTTTATAATAGGGAATACTGTGACCTGCAATTGGCATTTTTATTGAGAAAAGAATAACGATAAATTAATTTTTTATACCCTTTTGTATAAAATTTTTGATCATGCTAAAGCGAGGCTACTAAAATTTAATGTCAACTGATAAATATTCATTGTCACAAGAAAAGGTTATGCATTCTTTTATCAGTATTCGTTTCACCTGTTGCGAAAACAATTGAGCTTTATTATTTGACCAAAATATTCATCCTATACTCTGAGCATAATTAACGTTACACATTTTACGTATCTAAAAAATATCTTTCAGCGAAAATTCGAAATTATATTTGGAAGCAGCTCTCAAATAAGTCGTAAATATTAAAAAAAAGTAATTTCTTGACCTGTCACTGTTACTCAAAATGCCATCCAGTTAACTTTCCGAAATATCTACAGGAGCGTTCTGGTGCTAATTTGAAACATCTTGCGGTTTTCAGCTCTTATCTCTTGTTACCATGCGGTTAGTATAGTTATTTACTAACATTGATTCCCGTCTTTGATATGCTTTCTATACCTGTTGTTCAACTCAAAATCGTGCTGCCGTTTAGAATGTGATGGATAAGGCGTTTGCTACTGACTTGATCTGTCGTCTGATAACGCTAATTTGACGCCAACATCAATAAATGACTATTGATTGACCGCCTAAACTTATGTATGTTGTCTAATAACTTGGACCAAAACTTCAGTGAAAATGTCTCGTCGCCGCGTCGCAGTTTTCAGTAATTACGCCTTTTTCTTTTATTTCGTTCATTTCGAAGCGCTCGTAACCACCTTTAATTTGCAGTTGCATCTTTGTGGCATTCTAAAACGCCATGTACCACACACTAATCATCGAAGAGCTTTCGGAAACGTCATTTTAATTATACGGTTGCCAACTACGAGATCGTGATTTAAGTATGAGCAATAAAATAATTAGAGGTGCATCAATATAGTTTAAAAATAAAATAATAAAATACGATAAATGTGTCCGAAATCAACCCCCAATATAAAACTTAAAAATAATTGATAACGCAATGAATATAGAATGAATTTGCCAATTAATCAAACTTTTGAATTAATTCTTAACTTTAAGTCAAAAATATTCGTAGTGGGCTTTTTAAATAGATAGGTAAGTTTTGATATTATATAATATCTTATTACAGACAAAAACATTCCTCGCAATCAAGGTACATTCAATTCCCCCCTCAAATTCAAACTTTTCACTTCAACTTACTATTTCTCATTGCATAATTTAAAACGCAATATTTATCAGCACTTAAACCTTTATCTTGAATTAATATAAATATAAACTAAATGAGACAAATTGTTATAAGATTTTTCAAAACGCTGTATATCATTCTAATTTTAACTATCTGACGAGTTTCCGTCATTGTACCGCATTGCTCTATCGCACATTAAAAATTAGTTTCACTGGTTACCGAACTTCAATTTAAATTCGTATATTTCATTTTATATTACTTTTTTTTATTATCAAACTGAAGGCTGTAGATACATCACAGACCCTCAAGGCATAACCATTGTTGGTGATTTTCCAATATTGTTTTTTAATGTTACCGACGATCTTAGTGAACAAAAGTGGTTGGTATTCCATGCTCATGTAGGCGGTCATTAAATATCCAACAAGATGAAAACTTCGTGCTTCATGTACAATTAATTTGGCCGATTTTAACTCCCGGTTGAAGTATTTGATAAGCGGTGGCAAGTGATATGTCCTTTGTTTAAACTTCTCGTCAAATTAAGCCGCTTTTATTTGATATTTACAAACAAAACAACAAACGAATGTCGTTAACATGTCGTCGTTATGGCATGAATAATAATGAAAGAAATTCGAAGAATGAATAACGATGGTAATTTTCAAATTATTCAAATCATGTTTTCGTGATTTTTTTGCGCATATGGAATGCATTTACCTATTGAAACATACAAGAATATTAAGTGCTTTTATGTTAATTAACATGTTAGCTTTTTGTTTCGCTCAATTTTTTTTTTGAATGAAATGACAAATATATATATTTGTTCCTAGATTACGTCCGAAGGGCATCGGGAAAACTTGGCTTTGATTTTAGTATTGTCAGACTAGTTTAATTTATCTTGTCATGCGTTTGTTCCTTGTGTCTTAGGCAAGATTTCAATACTTACCCAGAAATGTTATCTATAGTGAAACCCATTTGAACAACTTCAATAACTACACGGCACCAATCAACAAGATGTAAAACTTCAATGGAAATTGTCCTTTTTTTAGGTTACTAAAACTTTTTTTATCCGCTCCTAAGTTTGCTCAATTCAGAAGTAAACCATGAAACACCACACTGAAACTATAATTGAAAGCGTTGTCCTTTATCACACGAGAAGAACAATTTTTAGATGAATATGACAAACAGTGTTTCCAGAAACCGAAACTTCATTGAAATGTCCTGATTAAACAAAACACTATCGGAATTGGCGCAATGTTTCCATAACAAAACTTGATGTTTGAATTTTAATTTATTTATAAATATTATTGACACGTTCATAAGCTATTATCTTAGAAGTTTTGCTCTTTGCTCCATGTTTACTTATAATTGCAACAAATACTCATTTGCATATGTTTCGAGCACCAATTAAGTAGATGAAAATTGATGGGAAAATTAGAGCAAAATATTTTAAAATTGAGGGATGATTCAAATTCAAATTCGTCTTTGGCTATTGAGAATCCGATAGATGCTAATTTATATTCCTGGTGAAATATTTGCACATTATTATGATTCTTACATAATTATATCCTATTTAACGTCACTTTGTTATTCATCCATCATAGCATTTACAAGCTGTATCATGTTACTTTCCACGTAAATATTTTAAAAACAAACTTGTATCGTTATTAACAAACATTCAATGAGTCTTTTGTCTTTCGACCTTTGACGAATACCAAAATAGAACTCTTGGTCCGTTCTAAAACTGCTTTGGTTAAATCAATTAGTTCCAATAATAAGTTTCATGCATACAATACCCCTAGTGCTCCCATGCGCTATTTTTGTAATACACATAAACCTTAAAACAGTAGTAAGTAGCCGATGGTAGGTACATTTGTTGGCGGCGATATGAGACTTGCCACTGCATCAATACTTAGAAGGCGTGAAACGTCTTTATATCATTCTGAGTATTGGAATCGAAATTAATCTTTATCGTTGAGAAATGATCTTTATTTGTTGTGTACGAAGTGTACATATAGATTGCTTTGTCCAATTCTTCTTGGGTTGGGATGATTGTTGTGAAAAAAAAACGTTTTTTTCCGCCGTAATGGGCGATTCGATTTCCAAACGATTTCAAAGATACCCGATATTTCACCAGAACTTTTGCTGTTTTATTTTAGTTCTCTACTGCCTCTGCACACGGAAAAAACAAGGTAATCGACATTCAGGGAAACATCCATGATATTAGAAAAGGCTAGATTGCACGCACAAACGGGCACGTTTTTTTGTCAAATTCGTGTTGTGGTTGAAGAAAACGACTCCAAAACTAATGGACCGATTGATATCGAAGTTATACTACCGGTACTTTTTAACCTAATACTATAACGGCTTTTTTACGCCGATCCTTTCAACAAATCAGCTTCTCTTTATCCATATATTGCTCGTTCATTCAAATGTTTCTCCAAACACATTGATATTTGCTTCTTAAGATAGTGTTAAGTTTGAAATCCTTAGCGCGGGCATACACCATTTTTCAATAAACCCTACTAAACAACAAATGTCCCACCTATCCTATCAAAAATTGTACAAAAGCTGCAGATTAAATAATAACAAAGCTAAAATTTTATTTTTTGCAACTTCAATATATATATA